ACAAACCGGCAGGGCAGGAAAGAGGCGCTGGTGGAAGTGATTCTTGAAATACCGGGCAGGCCGCATGCAGATGAACAACAGTGCCGTTCTGATGTAAAAGCTGTTGCCCGATGCAGCGTACAACTGAGGTTCATCAACTCACCTCCCACCATCCAGCCAGCCACGGGATGCAGCTTCCTTGGCGCCTGTGTCTATGGCCACTCCCAGCATCAGCATCTGCCTCAGATCACGGGGCGCTAGATTCTTAGAAGGAGCACACAGCCTACCTAGATGTCCACGCGCAGCTCATGGTGGGGCCTGCCCTCCTGTGAGAATCTACCGCCATGGCTGACCTCATGGGAGGCGGAGTCAGGCAGTGATGTGAGCATGGAAGATGAAGACACAGGAAGCTTCACCTGCTCACCTGCCATTCACCTGCCGTGCGGCCTGATTCTTATCCGGCTGCATACTGGCATCTGTCTGGCCTGGAGGGTTGCAGACCCCTGCTCTACGTGGTATTTAGAATGCAGAAGGCAGCTAGATTGGACAGTTCTAGATCTTGTCAAAGAGATGGAAGAGAGCTTGTGAGTCTGAGTGAGACCGACAGAGGAAGGTGGTGATGCTGACAGGCCCAGATGACAGAGGTAGCATGTTACTGGCATCGAAGTAAACCCTGGATTTTCTAGCAAAGGAAACCAAGATCAGGCACTTGGAAAACAGCTAAGTACTGATTGTATAGTTTGGAGAAAGAAATTGAACCTCAGAGAAGGGAGGTTAGGTGTAGGGGGCAGGCTGTGAATGGGCAATGAACTTCCCAGACGGAGAAACCAGAAAAATGGAGACCGGAAAGAAAAACTAACGGGCTGTTCCTGCGTCTAAGAAGGGGAAAAGAGGCGGCTCTTAAATGTTAGAGCAGAAAATCGTGTTGGAAGTTTGACCTGCAGTACTGTAGAGGAAATCCTTTCATTTTGGAGGGAAAAAAATACGCCCGGCACCCAGAAGGAGGAAGCCAGAGTGGGCAACCAGTGCGCCAGCACCCGGACCTGGGCCGGCGAGGACATCCAGGTCTGTTTGCTGGGCGCGTGAGCAGGAGGAGGGAGCGACGGCCCAGGGGGACCCTGCCAGGCAGGCCCATCTCTCCCATTGCTCTTCAGCCTACAGTAGATGGACTTTAAAGTGAATAGGCAGTGCTGCAGATCGGGCTGCAGGGTTCAGAGAGGGCAACTGAGGCCCCGCTGTGCTGCTCTGTCCTCCGCCGCCTTTCCCGCAGCGCTGGGCATTGATCAACCTCCCGCAAAGCAGTTTCAGCAGCGAGGGTGAGGTCAGTATTCCTCATAGTGAAATCTGACGGGGCAGAGCCCTCCTGGGCTCACTGTAGCCGTGTAAATCTCTTATGCTGTCTCAGAAGGTGCGAGTCCAGGCACTGAGACCTCAGAAAAGGAGGGCTCCGCGGAGAGGATCAGCCCTCCGCCACATCCTCTCGCCTGTCTGCTGTTTCTCTCCACTTTTCAGCAGACGCCAAATCCCAGTTGGTCGGATGTTGTGTCCAGAGCTTTTTTCTTTTTCCACGCATGCTTAGCAAGCTGTACCACTGTGCTACCCCAGCTTTGGGGCCCAGAGCATTTAATTAGCTTTAATTAAAAAGAAAGGCCCCAGTGTGGGCTTTAACTTCGACAGCTGGTATAACAGATAGAGATCCTAAAGATAAATGATAATGTCAAAAGATAATGATAATGTCAAAAAGATAATGTCAAAAAGGAATGTCTATCGTAGATGATTGTCTTGGTTACTCTTCTCTTGTTGCTGGGACAAAATACCTGACGCCCAAAATTAAGGAAGGAAAGGTTCATTTCGCTTACAGTTTGTGGAGGTTTCAGTCCATACTTGGCAGATTACAAGGCAGAGTGGCACAGGGCAGAGGGCTACAGCTCATGGCGGCAGAACACAGCAAAGCAACAAACACACACAAGGGAGGAAATGGCCAGAAGCAGCCTCTTCCTCTCCCTTACATCTGCAAACCATCCACCCCAGGGCAGGTGTAGCTCTCACACCCATAATCAATCAAACTCTAAAAGCCCGCCCCGTGACCACATGAGGCTTTGGGAGGACACACAGACACAAACCATAACAGTGGTAGACCATGAAGCAGACTCGGAGGATTTTTTTCTTTTTTGAAAAGGGAAAGAAGCTCACACCTGTAGTCCCAGCACTCAGGAGGCTGAGGCAGGAGGCTTGTTGCGAGTTCAAGACCAGCCTGGGCTACAAAGTGAACTCAAGGCCAACCTGAACTGCATAGCGAGACCCTGTCTCAAAAAGACAAGGAAAAATTTTTAAAAAGAAAAGGGAAAGAGAATATGTTCCTGGCACAACTTTACTGAACACTCAGTAGACTGTATGGAGCAGTGAAACCATTTTACTGTATGAGTAAAACCAAAACCGGCCGTGTGCAGGGGTCGTGCAGACACCACCTCTATCTCCGTACTGTGCAGCAGGCAGGAGATGGACTGGTGGATGGATTTCAGAGCTCAGGACAGGAGATCCAAAGATCACGTGTGCACCTCCACCTCTGCTTTTGAGGAAGAGCAAATGGAACGCACGCTGTATATTGAGTTGTATTCCTCCGAGGGACCTCTCCAGTGAGCCCCAGGGGAGCTGTTTAGGGACAGCCCATCGGGGTCTTGAAATCCCATGTGACCTTCCCTGTCTTGGTTTTGGGCTCTTCCCTTTCATTCCCCTGTGAAGAGGCACCGTGAGGGTTAGGGCCTTCCTGATCAGCACCTGCACATCCTTAAGCTGGTCTTCCTAAACTATATTTGCTTCTGAAGTGTTTCCTTGTATCTTCCCTTTCCCTGCGTTAAATCACACGTACTGCTTGATATTGAGCCCTCCTCCAAGTAGGAAGGAGCTTCCCTTTAGGCGTGGTTTTGATCTCCAGCTTCAGTTCCCGCAATCAACAATAAGAGCGAGCACAGTAGAAGATATTGTAAGAGGGAGAGAGAGCGCTTTCTGTCACCACAACAAATACCATGCAAAATCAGCTTACAAAGAGAAAAGTCCTACTTTGGTTCATAGTTTGGGAGGTTTCAGCCCCTGATCAGTTGGCCTCATTGCCCTGGGCCTGCGGTGAGCCATCACAGTGGGGTCCACGGTGGAGGAGACTCTCACCTCATGGCCAGGGACGAAGAGAGAGGATGGCTTGACACGTGGGATTTTGGGACAGTTAACAGCAGCTATGTGTGTGCAAGCAAAACTACTCACATGGGATGGTCCATGGCTTCGGGCATGCCTGGTGGGTCATGATATAGTCCCTACAGATAAAGGGAGCTACTGCAGTTGGTCTTCCTTAGTTATGAAATCTAAACTGGACTCGGTGTTCAACAAACGGTTTGGCCAATACAAAAAGCAACTGTCCGATGATCCCAGTAGTCTGGGATGTGCATCGCCATGACCACGGGGCTTTTCAATCCATGCCATGAAGATCATGGGTGGCCATTTGCTATCTTGTTTTCCAGCCAAACTTGAGTTCTGTTTCCCAAGAACCCTCCTTCACGAAATGTTCCTTCAGTGGGCTATGATTAGTTTTAACTGATTATTCAATAAATATGTAGGAGCCTTTTTTAAAAAAAAAAAAAAAAAATGAGGAAATACATGGCTAAAAATGGGAGTGGGGCAGTGAAAAATGTTCTTTCAATGCCTGTCCCAGCCCTGTGGCACCCTTTCTACCTCACCAACAGGGGTTTTTCTGCAGGGGAGGAATTGGTTTTTCTGAGACAGGGTCTTGGTGTGTAATTCAGGCTGGTCTTGGACTCATTATGTAGCCCAGGCTGGCCGCAAACTGTGATCCCCCGACTCAGCCTCCTGAGTGCTGGGATTACAGGCATCTGCCACCACACCTGGCTTCACCACACCTGGCTTCACTATTCCTGCTACTCATGTATTCATGGAAAGAGCCTGTGATGTAAAAATATGTATGTATTTTAATATAATGTTCTAACACTACTCTGCATCTTTTTTTAACTTTAATAATACAATCTGGGGATTTTTCCTCTTTGTTACACACAGGTCTCCCTCATTCCATTTTATAGCTATCTCATGATTTACTGAATGGGCATACCATAATATATTTATCCATACCTTTCTGAATATTGCTTCCATTGTTCAAAATATCCTCTACCAGTGAAAGATTTCAGAAGACTCACTACATACTGCATCATTCCATGTTTGCAGAGTGTGGCCTTTGAGTGCGGCACTGTGCAGGTGCCGCAGGGGATGCAGGATGCTGTGAGCTTGGCAGCCTCCACTCTTGCAGGGAAAGGATACGGGGGTTAGGAAGACCTGGTTGCCAGGTGCATCTGCCCACAGTTTTTCTCTGTTTTCATGACTATCACTCTTGCTAGTACATGCTATCGGTGACCTCTCAGTGCACTGGATGTGTATGTGACTGCGTGTGATCTGTCTGGCTTATCATGGCAGCCGCTGGAGCAGGGGTTTCAAACTCCAATGCCTACAGGGGCCAGGAGGGTGAGCTCAGTGAGTGAAGCTGGGAAGACCCCACCTCTGTTCAAAGGGAGAAGCCAACTGCTATTCTGCTCCAGAAGATCATTCCCAGGGGTAGGGAAGGGCAACCAGATTTTCTGATTAATAGGAATCAGTGGGTAAAAGACAGATGGGGTCTTTCTGTATTGTTTCTCACAATCTCATGCAAAGCTACAATTCTCTCAAAGCAAAAGGCTTAACTTAGAAAAGCCAGAAGTCTAGATCACTGTGTGAAACAACATGATTTACAAATGCAGACATCATCTCACTCTGAGGCCCAGAAAAACCCCATCTGCAGGCCGGATGTGGGCTTGGGTCCACCGTTCTGCTCTCTGTGCTTAGCTGGGGGATTACATTTGATTTGTGTAAAGCCCAAGGATCCCAACGCACAACTGTACTCTAAAAGTACTTTTGTTATAAGAGTTTCTGTCAGTTTTGAAGTGGCCACTTCGCCTGTGTTAAGTCCTCCTCTCCTCGCCTTCCAGGTCCTGGGATGCGGCTGCGTTGCCCAGACTGTGCTCAGTCGAGGCAGTTTCGGAAACATCGTCACTATCAATGTGGGATTCCCAATGGCGGTGACAATGGCCATTTATGTGACTGGAGGTGTCTCTGGTAAGTGGTAGAAATAGTAATAGCTACTATTAATGACTCCAATGTGCTAGCATGGTACTGTGTACTTCACATACCTTCATATATTTTGATCTCATCAATTCTATGAGAATATGCATCTGACCCCATGTTCGTAGATGACACCATGGCAAACTAATGCTAAGTGGTTATGTAAAAGAAACATTCGGCAAGACAGCAATGGGGGTTCGTATTCAGAATGGGCTCATCCCTGAGCCTGACCTCGATATCACAGTCTTCCAGTCAGTCAGTATAATCTGTGTGTGCTCTGGAATCCATTTCCCAGACACCCACCGATGAGACCAGTAAAGGTCAGGCCCACAGAGAGAGCCGCTGGGCGAGCAGCTAGACAGAGTTTCGGTTTCCTGCAGAAACGGACATTACTTTCGTGGCAATTGATATGATCTAGAAAATCATAATCTGATTCTGCCCTTGGAGGATGAGGATAGAAGCCATCCACAAGGCTCTGAGAAGCACAGTGAAATGTTACTGAGTGTAACCCGAGACTGCAGGAGGTGCTCTGAGCTGCCTGGCGTGGGTGAGCATGGATGCAAGACTGTGGGGATAGAGAGCAGAGGGAATGGAGAAGCCCCTGGGCCTCGGGCACTATGCTGGACCTAGAAGCCACTGGGCCCCAGAGGTATAGGAACCCAGGAAGCTGCGGCACCCCGGGCACCGTGCAGCAACCTGGACATCTTTAATGTCCCTCCTCCTTCACAGCAGCACTCCAGGATGGGTGTTACTGTCATTCTCCAGGGAAAGCAGGGCTGCGGGAGCTGAGGAGCTTCTACAAGTCCTGCAGGAGGTAAAGACACGGAGCAAAGATTTGACCCAGGTCCTCCTGACAGTAAAGCTCACATCCTTCTGTAACATTCCCAGTGGTCTGTTATGGGAAAAATGACCATGGTAGAGGTTGCTGCCATCAAGCTGCCTGGCACTGTGACAGATGCTGTACCTGAGTGTCCAGGACTGACTGCCTGGACCCCCTGGAGCCGTGGTGGGACCCCAGCATGGTCGGTCGTTGGCTAGTGACACCCTTTCCATACTACAGCCAGACTTGGGTCCTGGAGTGGTCCAGGTAGAGTGTGTGTGAGTGTGTGTGTGTGTGTGTGGGTGTCGGGCATGAGCAGTGTCTGCATTCAAGCTTCCATTGAGTTTGTACTGTGATCCCAACACCGTAGCCCAGCCAGCCCCACGCTGAGCAGAGCAAAGGACACTCGGGACTGCTGCAGGTACGCCAGGGCTGGAGAGAGTGCAGGCCTGGACACCAGACAGGAGACGCTCGTTTGGCTCAAACTGAGCATGCAGGTGACCTACTGCTCTCCCTTTCACGTCTTCACAGCATTCACTGACTGCTGCTGTGTGGACGGGGCTATCGCCAGCTGTCTTTTACAGGGAGTTACAGTTTGGAGCATTTGGCCTGCAGAACTCCCTGCACTGAGCATCACCCAGGAGTTCTGAAGGCTTCACTGGCCCCAGTCTGCCTGTGTCGTTACTTTCAGCACTTAGCTTCACCATTGCTGGGGACCGTATCTGTTCATATCCGTTGCTGTAGTTGGAAATGTAGGGAGGGATTACAGCAGGACAATGGGCCACAACCCATCAGAAGGATAAGAGGGAGTGAGAGGTGGCAGGGAGGCCTCTCCTCTGGCTCCAGACCTGGAATTAAACCATTGTGGGCAGAGGGAGAGGGTCAGAACTCATGGGACTGCTTTTGCGAGAAGCTATCTTTCCAGCAAAGGGATCAGCACCTGACCAGGCTGTTTAGGAGAGACCGAGGAACCCCAAAATACAAATAGAGCCTGGTCTGAGAGGAGCTGAGGAAACCAGCATTGGGTTAGCCTCTGTGCAGTTCCTGCCCTGTCTCCCACCCAGCATAGCTCGTGATCCCTCAAGACTGGGGTCCTGGGGACACGCAGGGACAACACATGAGCTCTGCCTGACACTCACACCCGCAAGAGCATCGATGTGTGCTCCAGCAGCTGCAGGAGCAGGAGCAACTTCCTTACGGTGGCTGCAGCTAACATACTTCTTCACAGCCATGTGTGAGGCCCTCTTTGAGGATTCCAAAAATATCTCACGAGTACTGGGCGTAAATATAAACGTGATCCCACTTGGTGGTCACACGCTGGTGAGGTCAGCTGCCTTGTGGCTTTTAAATATGAACATCACCTTAGTACAAGGAAGTTACTGCAGCCCCGCCCCTTTGTGAATGTGCCAATCAAAACCCTCGATGAGAACTCAAAGTGCCCTTATAGTGTGGCACATGATACCAAGTGTTTAGCCTGCAGCTGATAGTTATTCTTGATGTAGTATTTTATGCTTAAAGTTATGGAAAAAGCAAAGTAGCTACGCTTAATAGCAAGTGCAATAGAAGGTGTGTGTCTCACAGACTTGTCCATGGATGTTGGGGAGGAGATATCTGCCTAGCACAGAACCCATGAAAGAGTTCCCTCTGCTCACCTTGTGCTTATTGTACCCCAACTGCGGCCTTGGCTCTGTACCTGAATAATCTGATCATCACACCAACATTTGCAGGGACTCTCTGACTTTGCGCTCATGTTCTTTCCACTGCCATCCTGCTAAGTAGGGCAGTGCCCATCTCACTGGAGTCTCAGGAGTGGACACATGCAGCACCCCCACGCTAGCGTCCGCAAGTGCTCAGTAAATGTTGTTCTGAGCAAACCCAGCTGGGAACATCCCTGACTTTCAGTGGAGCAAACCTATCTGATCTTGAGTAGATGCAAGTCAGGGAGCTAATTTCACTCTCTGGGGTTTGAGTTGGCTGAGGGAGAAATGCATTGTGGTACAGGGCAGCAGCAGAGGAGAATCCACTCAGACCCTGCGATCGCCTCAAAGTAAACAAAGCCCCTTATTTCAGGGATGGGCTGAGAGCATCAATCTAGGGGCCGTTCCCCTTCAAGAGACATCTCTGTCCGGGCTAGGACTGCTTTTATAGCCTCTGGGCATGGACTGAGGAAGCACTAGTATTGATTTAAACCTCATCCATATATTGTGTGAGTATAATGATTTTAAAAAATATACTGACATTAATAGTTCACATCAATCTATTTGGGGTTATTGCTTTATCAATAGATAAAAGCCCATAAAAATGAACTATTTGAGCACATCAAGGTTCTTATTACATCTGACTCTTCCTTTTCATAAAGACAAACATTCTAAGCAGTATCTAGTAATGTCATGGGGATTATTGGTCCTCTCTTCCAAACACTGTCTCTGCCTCTCTCTCTCTCTCTCTCTCATTTCTCCTTATTTGTCATTCTCTACCTAGCAGACTGACTTCTAGCCAAATTCTCCATGCCGTTCTGTGACATCTGTCCCTCCTGGCTTTCCCTCTGATGTCCCCACCCATTTTGTCTTCCCTGCAGGTGGCCACGTCAACCCAGCCGTGTCCTTCGCAATGTGTCTCTTTGGGAGGATGAAATGGTTCAAACTGCCATTCTATGTGGGAGCCCAGTTTTTGGGAGCCTTTGCAGGGTCTGCTGCCCTCTTTGGCATTTACTATGGTGAGTACGGACTCTGGATTCAAAGGTCGTACAGAGCTGGGTGTCACTGGAAAGTCAGAATTATTTGGTAGGAAGAGGTGAGATACAGCGAGAACAGGAAATGTTCTGTAACTGATAGGAAATTCTAAATGTGAGATAATTAGGCCAACACCATCATTAGGGCAAATTTATGAAGCCTCTTAATGAAAATGGTGACATCGGAAGTAAGGGCAGGACGTGGGGAAGGAGCCGAGCTTCAAGCGCAGGCTGCACTATGGACTGAACACACAAAGGAAGCGACAGGCCCTGGTCTCCTTGCTTTCTCTGACTTGGCTGAGAAAGGGCTGCTCCCTGGAGGCCAAGGCCATGATTCAGAGGTATTTGGAGCAGGACTCTGGGAAATGTCTTTGGAGGAGGAAACACCGCAGAGAAATGGGCCGGATGGGAGCCTCAACCCTCCTACCAAGCAGCCATTGCTTCCATTCTGTATGTCTCCAGGGATAACACAACCGCTGACCAGAGGCCCAGACTTTCACTCTGGCTCTATCAGCCAGTAGCTGTGTGACTTTAACAAGTCACCTGACCCGACTTTCCTGTTTCCTCCTCTAGAAAATGAGGGAACTGGGCTAGGTGACCCCACAGAGCCTTTACACTAGGAAATCTTGGGGTTCCACTAAGTCATCTGTGAAAGCATTTCCTTCTGTCGAATGCATGGTGAGCTCAATACCTGTGACTGTCAAAGACCTTGGGAGCAGGAGTTGATGAACCAAGCCTCAGGGAAACAGGTTGTAGAAAGGGGCATCTTCTGAGATTTAAAGTCCTAAGAGGATTGCTGGGGAATTGAAGACCAGGCCAAAAGTTCAGAGCCAGCTATATGGTGAGAGGCCTGGGGCCAGGGCTGGCTCTGTTGGCTGCTGTTGTCCTGGTCTAAGGGCTCCATGGACTATCCCCAGCTCTTCACTGTACCATGACACCTTGGTACATTACTAAGGGCACTGCAAGCCCTGTAGGAACTATAAACTCTCCCTGGCATTGGTTCAAGCTCCATGCTAGCCTTAGGTTAGTCTTCAAAATTCCAAGAACTCTGCTCAAAGATTGGTTTGGACTAACTCACTCAGGATTTGGTCCAAGTCTGGAGTGGGCCACCAGGGCTACCAAAGGTTTTCTTCCCTTGACTCATCCTGCTGGGATTCCCCGGGCACCCTATGACGTCATACTGTGATGCCACGAGAGACCAGTGATAAGACTTTGCCTGCTCAGCCCGGGGGGCTGCTGCTGTTTAGCAGCAGGCCTGGCACAGGCTTCCCTCAACCCTCCCAAGGAACACTAACATGACAACTCTGCCCTCCACAGACGGGCTCATGTCCTTTGCGGATGGGAAGCTGCTCATCACGGGAGAGAATGCAACCGCGCACATTTTTGCAACATACCCGGCTCCTTATCTGTCTGTGGTGAACGCATTTGCAGACCAAGTAAGTGTGGGTCCAACAAACACTTAACTTTAGCAAAAAGACATGGCCAAAGATGGGAATGTGTTAAAGAATTACAGAAAGAAAAGGTTGTGTTTTCCAAAATCAGAAGTCACTGGACAGAACCCACGCTTGACAGTCTTTTGCCCCTGCAGAAGTTCATAACCCTGGATGCATTTTCTGCTTCCTTATTAATGTGAAAACCTGCTTCACATCATTTGAGGCCCAGAACAGAGAGGATGACCGGTTGAGAGGGTCTTATCCTACTCTATCCTGAGAGTCTTGGACTCATTTCCAAATGTCCATCTCAAGGGGCATGCTGCTGAAGGACAGGAGGCAGAAACACAGTGATGTCACCCCAAGGGTGAGAGGAGAACTGAGGCACTGGTCTAGACAAGGTATTTGTGGGTTTGAGTGCAAAGAGCGGGGGACTGTGAGGAAACATGTTAGAAGTTCTCGAGGATCTGCAGGGACATCAAGTGAAAAATAGATTACATTCCCACCCCTAAAGAGATTTGGCAGAAGCAAATGCCCTGTACATAAGAGATGCTTAAAAATAATATTTTGTTTTTATGGTGCTGGGAATGGAACCCAGGGCCTCACATATGCTCAGTAAGTGTTGTACCAGTGAGCTTCAAAATATGTGTCTTAGTGAATGCATGAGTCCATAAATGAATGAAATTATGATGAAATAAATTTACAGTCAGTGAAAGGAAGACCATTCTAGAAAATGGACGTGGACAGACAAAGTACAGACCATATTTCCCCAGGGCAGTAATCAGAGGTGTTGGAGGGAAATTGGAGGGCTTATAGCTGGCTGGAAGCAGAAGTTTTCCACCGAGGGAAAATCGTAGCTATCTGAAATAAGAGGTTCAATAATCTCAGGACAACAACACAGGAACCGTTAAGAAGAGCGAAGGATAACGCAGGGGAGAACTCACCCAAGGCAAAACAGCTCCTCTCTCTGGCATCTGCGTCTATTAGGAGAGGGTGGCGACAAGATTACTCCTCTGAGCTTCACAGTGCCAGAGGTCTGTTCTCACAGGCAGGTTGGGGTCAAGCTGGTAAGGAGGCAGGGCTGCCTCAGAAAGGATGTCCGAGGTGGGTTTCGTGACGTCCCTATTTAGTTCAAGCCAACTTCCTCTTATGAAGAAGAAGCTAGCAGGGGAGTGAAGAGCTTAAGGAGGACCTTTGGAGATTTCTCCTGTGAATTTAGGTCATTTCCGCTGGAGGCGAGAGACCCGATGCGGACCTCCTCAAACCTTGACTTGCACCACAAAGGTCTTTACCTCTACTCCTCCGTTGGGACTGACACCTCCTTGGATTCTCAGGCCACTCAGAGTTCGTTCCAGAGACAGCCCATCCCCACACAGCCCTGGAGAGACGACGCTCTCTCCATTTCACAGCCGTGTCCTTTCCCCTGGGAGAGTTCAGGACCCCAGGGGCCTCCCTGACGTGAGGCCACTCCAAGGGCAAGGGAGTGAGTGGCCCAAGTCTCCCTCAGAATTATGCACTTCACCGGAGAGACCAGTCCCATCCTGCCTGTTATCATTACAGGCTCCCCCTCGCCTGGGTAGCTCCGACCTTGGAAGACAGCTCAGTCTTCAGAGAAGCGGCACCAACACTCCTGATTAACACCCCACAACCAATGGTCCCTGAGACACAGTGGGCACACCACAAGTAGTGATCGTTCTCCCCTTGGCCAACCCTCTCTTTACTTCCCCCTCTCTTTTCTTGTTCTAATGGAATCTTGCAGAATTTCTCACCTTCTCCAAATTGCTAGGCTCAAGATGTTTCACCAAATATCTTGGTCACAGGAAATTGCTTTGTGTCTGCTGGGTGAATGTCCAGCCACCTTAGGCCTGTCCAAGTCCATCCCCCAGGCTTTTGGTCACTCCGTCTTTATCTCAGAGAGAGTTGCTAGCTTCTCAAAGGATCATGATTTTGTTTTGTTTTTGTTTTTGTTTTTGTGTTTTTGAGAAAGGGTCTTGCTATGTAGTTCAGGCTGGGCTTGAGCTCACTTTGTAGCCCAGGCTGGTCTCGAACTTGCAATGATCCTCCTCCCTCAGCCTCCCCAGTGCTGGGGTTACAGGCATGCGCCACCATCCCAGCTGGATCATGATTTTAAAGTCAATCATTATATGTGACGAATGCCGATGATCAGTCCACCAACAGCCAGCAGAACTGTTGTCCACCATGACTATATTCTTGGGCCACCTTACCTCAAAATTATTAATTGTTTGGCTTTCCATATTATTCAAACATATTTCAAACTTTAGTCAATAATCAATCATTCAGTTAGCCAATTAATGTCTATTGGGCATCTTCTGAGGCAGGCGCCACTCCAAGCTGTTTCTCCTCATCGAGGATTTCAGGTCAGAGACTGAGTAGAACAAGTAAGCAGTCAGTCCTTTGCAAAGCAGTAGGGGCAGCGATCGAAGTAAAATCCGAACGCAGCGGGAGCTCAGAGGTAGGCATTTCTACTGTGCCCCAGAGAGCCAGGAAAGGCTTTCTAGAGAATAGTGCTCTGGGAGAACGTGTCTGTCCCTTTGAATCCATATTCTTCTAACATTATTTTGGAAAGCTGATAAAATGCTGAAGAGCTTAAACTCTGAAATCAGTTTCCTAGTTCCCATCCTACTCTTCTGCCCATAAGCGCCACACTGCTGAGCAAGAGTCTTAACTTCTGCTTAAGAGTCTTCATCCAAAGCTGAGGAAAACAGGGTTGACATCATCCCAGGGTTATTATGAGGCTTGAGCAAACACGGCATACGAAGTGCCAGGACTGAAGCAGAGTGTGCCAACTGTTAGTTCATACGCAGCATAATGAACGTTCAGTACATAATAGCTAGCATTTAGCTATTAGAGTGAAATAATAGCTTAGAAAGTTTTTTTAAAAAATAGAGGGCAAAACAGCTTTAAACCACTATTTCATAACAGCTGCTGTCATTTTCATAAAGTCTCATAATTTTTCCTTCGTGTGTTTTTAAATATAAAACAAGGCACACACAATTTTTAATTTAGTGTCGTAAACATTTTATGCTACCACATAGTCTTAAACGGTTATGTAATGGACCGTGAAATAGATGTGCCAAACACAGTTAGCTCTTCCCTTTTCAAAGTGGACTTCAGAGTTTTATAATGTTTCCATGACTTAGAATATTTCCATGGTATAATTCTCAAATACCCAACAGCATCAGATTATAAGCTTATGTTTTTAAACACAAGCATATTGCTAAATTGTTGTTGAGTATCCTTTCCAAAGCTCAGAGCATGCTTAATTCTACTAGAGAATTCTGGAAGAGCTGGCCTTCTTTCCCTACTATTTGGTACTGTTTGCATTGCTTTAGTACAGATCAGATTTTTCCACTTATTTTCTAATCCAGTTTTTCTTGTATGAATTTTGCGCCCTCTTCCTTTGCACGTTCATCTAGGGCTGCCGCACGTTGTTTTTCTCACTGAGCGAATGCCCTCTCTCGTCACCTTTCCAGCCTCACCTGCCTTTCCTCTTAGCTGGGTAGCAGCTCAGTGAAATAGACCAGTAGCGCAGATGGGAGGGTCAAGCGCTCTGGGTCCAGAAGTGCTGCCACTAGCCAAGTGCTTGACCTTGAGCTGATAAGTGATCTGCACAGCATCCTTATTTTTGCCTCTCCTCTGGGATTGGTGGAGTGAAAAGAGTTACGTGCTCATCAAGTGAATGACAGTGTTGCTGGATTGACTTTTTTTAAAAGAAAGTGTGAACTTAGAAATGGGCACATGGGTGGAATACGAGCTAAGCCTCCTGCACATTTTCTCTCTCCAGGTAATGTCCACCATGTTCCTCCTCATGTTGGTCTTCGCCATTTTTGACTCCAGAAACTTGAGGGTCCCCAAGGGGCTGGAGCCCATTGTTGTAGGCCTGCTGATCCTCGTCCTTTCTTCTTCCTTGGGACTGAACAGTGGTTGTGCCATGAACCCAGCCAGAGACCTGAGCCCCAGGCTTTTCACCGCTCTGGCAGGGTGGGGATTCGACGTCTTCAGGTAAGGAGCAGTAATGGGAAGGAGAGAGCGGGTTTCGTGCTGCGCCTCAGCAGCAAGGGCGGGACCGGAACCGCAGGGGAGGAGGAGGAGCACCCGACATCCTTGGGCACGCCTACATGGGCGAGAAAGGGTGTCTGGGGCCAGAGGACCCTGATTCAAGGCAGAAGGTTAAAATAACAAGGGATCTTGTCTATGCCAAGGAAGGCTACAAAGAGGACGCATCGGAGTACAGAAAATGTGGGCTCCCAAAATGAGCGCTCTGGGTGTGTCTCCTCCCTGTTCCGCAGGTGAAAGGGAGCAGCAAAGGACTGGGGCAGACACAGGGCATGTTCAGAAGGGCAGCTTTGCAAAACGAACCTGGTATCAGCATCCAAGGCGGGTTGAAGAAGGGTGGAGCAGAGGGGCAGGAATTCATCAGGAAAGCTCTAGAGTGGCTGCTAATCCTCAGCAGAAAAATTTCCCCAAAACTCTGAGGGACAACAGGCTTCGAAACCTGAGTGTCATCATTACATGTTAAAGATAGTTTACTCCAAGTGATAAGTTCCTAAAGATGGTCCCTTGGGCAGCAACACAGACATGCTCCTGCAGCCCCCACCCCGTGGGGTGCAGCCGGCCACTACCCTGTGTGCCCGTAAGACGGGGCAGGCGAGTAACCATATCGGATGTTCTCCATCCGAACTTGTGCCCCTGGCACAGGGTGTGCGGTCACGTGCCCTGCAGATATCATGTGCGGAGGGCAGGTTGAGGGCCAGGGCGCAGCAGCCCCTGCCGCGCAGCAAGGGTGACACCTGGTGGCAGCTCTGCTCAGTCACAGGCCGGGCTGTCCTCCCGGCGTTGGTGGTTAGGGGGTCTGAGAGCTCCCACAGCCCGAGGTGAAAGCAGTTGTGCCAGTGGAGGACCCAAACCTCAGAAAGGGGGACTGGTCCAAAGAGCTTGTCTGAAGGAGATCTCCTGGAGTGCAGGACGGGGCTCTTGGCTTCTGCTGGTTTCCTTCATTATCTTTTCTAATCAAATTCGATAGAAACAAAAGGCCATCGGACTGGTCTGTTACTATCTAGTATGGTGATGGAAAGGGCAGCCATGAGTCCTTCCAGGATCAAAATTCTCCCCGCCGTTTCCAGCTTAGTTGCTGGAGCGCAGCAGAACGTGGAGACGTCTGCACAGACATCCCAGCGCTCCCCTCTCCCGGGCCCCCGCCCCGCATGATTCCGATTTTTGGTGTTGATTGTTTTCCTTGCTTTTTAAAAATAGTTCCACTGCAAGGGTACACACCCTCACCCAAGTTAGGAGCTTCTGACTGTCCTTTCCGTGGCGTTACTTGAGCAGATTTCTTCTCTTCAAGAAAAAGCCGGTGACAATTCCCAAGGCCACTTGCTTTCTTGCGGAGCCTTTACTAGAATGTACTGACCTTGAAGATTTCAGGGCAGAAGTTTGGATCATGGCACAAAAGCTTTCTCAGAGCTTATCTTTATTTATTTTGATTTTCCTCAAATCAGTGGTGCCTTGGAATCTTTTCCCATTCCAAGCATCTTCTTTCCATTTGGAATGCCTGGGCTTAATTATTTCAAGATAAAGGAAAGGCAGTTCCTGGATGGTTGGCCTGAATTTCTCTGGAGGCCCTCAGGCTTAATTAAGGGCGCAGGCACTGTATTTTGTAAAAGGAAAATAAAGTGTACATAACCTCTCACGATTGTTAATAGGACAATGAAATAGTGATCTAAATCAGGTATACTGGAAAATCTAGGGTGACGGTTGCCACGCCACAGTCCATAGCCCTATACTTAGCTTTTCTGAGTTAAAAGGGTACTGTGAGCATGACAAAGCCGAGCTGGATGGCGAATAAGGAGGCAGAAACCTCAGGAAGGCCACGAAATGTGTCACTAATGTCTTCTTTGGTTTCAGAGTTGGACATCACTTCTGGTGGATTCCTGTGGTGGGCCCCTTGGTTGGTGCAGCCCTTGGAGGTCTCGTCTACATGCTTCTCATTGAAATCCACCACCCAGAGCCTGAACAGAACTTCAAGGCAGAGCCGACAGAGGACAACCAAGAAAAATATGAACTCAGCGTTATAATGTAGTGACACGCTCAGCTCCTAATTTGCAACTGATTTGTCTCTGCTAGTTCAGTGGACTTCCAATTGCAAATTACCTGAGTGAAGGTTTAGAAAAACTGACTCCTCTCTACCAGTCACCCCTCCTCAGAATAACAGTGACTGTCCCCGGACGGCCTTCTCTCCTGCCTTGTTCATTGTATCCTTGATGGGCATCCTTCACTGGATGGTCTCAGCTGCATAACTCAAATGAAATAACTCACCAAAAGCCTCTTCTTCAGTGTCCACAAATATCACATTCTGAGTGTCACCTAAAACCTAGTCTGAAAGGCAAAACGGTTGTTTCAGGTAACACCCATGAACTGAGGAACTCGAGGGTTAACGCTCTCGTTACACAGTGCTGCAGCTGTCTCTGTAACCCTGATGCTCTCCAAACCTACGGATGCGGAGAGCACAGGGGAAGGACACCGTGGCATTGAGAAACCTCCAGAGACAAGAGAGATTTGGGAAACCAAATGGAATTTTTTAATGGAAACCATTTATCAGATTAATCTCTTGCTCTTCCGCATTTTAGAGAGCACCAATTAATTTCCTGGTCTTTAGTATATAATAACCTAAAATACAATTGTGACCTCAGTCATGAAAAATACATCACTCTGTCTTTTCACCTGAAATGTATTTTTCTAATTGCCCACTTGGGGACAGACATTTGACAAATGAAGTCAATGGCTGCATCGTCCACTATTGTACATGCGCCCCAGAAGCCTGCAAACCACTGGAGCCCTGTCTAGCAGACTGTTTGAGGTGGGAAGTCCCTGGAAGGGTACTAATCCCTTACTGGGCTTTGTAACTCACAACACACCATCATATACATCATCTAATTTAATCCTACAGACCATCTGATGCCCATTTTTCAGGTAAACAAACAAAATATCAGGGCTATTAAGTGAGCTGGCCAAGATTTCTTGGAAAGTTGAACATTGTCTAACTCAACCCTCTGCCTTTGAGAAGACCAATAACTGGTTAAGAATCTCTACTAACCGTTCCTGGTTGGCCAGAAGCAGTGGAGTTCACAGCTTCCAGGGGACACATGCCTTGCGGACACAACGCTCCTTGATGTTATGGCATAAGACCTTAAGATCCTACATTGTCTGGTTTTACTCCGTCTGTGACTGAAGTACAAATGAAGGAAGCGGTGGCAGTATGATACCTTCCATCTGCTCGATGACACTACCAGAAGGCCTTCCTGAGCTACTCTTGGTCTTCTGAAGTCCTGATCTTCCTCAGCCTCTTATGAAGCTCTCTGACATTCATTTCAGCCAGGGTGTCCTGAGCTATGATCACCCTGAGAATTGCTCTGCAGAAAGAGACACGTCTTCACATCTGTTACAAGCCAGCCCTTCCCAAGAGGCATTTGGTTTCCCACCAGGTTTGTGATAACAGAAAAGCAAAAGGCAAATGGGAAACGTCTCTGACAGCCTCTGCTCTACAACAGGTGGAGAAACAAATTTATCCTTGCTCTGAAGCCACCTGAATTTCCCTATTTGAAATAAATTGCTGCATTGGTTTTTTAAATGAGTTTTCTCTCTCTCTTATTTGTATAAGTACTAAGATTGCTAAACATACTTAGTCCAGAGTTTCTCTATCCTGTCTACAAACTGAAAATCCTGGGGAGTGTCTGGAGAATAGGAATCCCCCAAATTTTCATATTCCCCTTTGAAATAGCTCAGCAAGGGCTAAGAATATTGGCTTGGTTAAACCACGTGGGTATAAGGTTTCTCTGAAAACCTCATTGACCATGTGATTCCTGGTAGCATTCTGAGACTGGGAGCCCTGTGGGTTAGAGCCCCAGTTCTCAACAGGGGACTGTTTTGCTCCTTCCTCCTGCTCCCCAGGAGGACATCTGGTGATGCTTTGGAGACATCACTGGGGAAGAGGAGGGATAATAGTATCCAGTGGCTGGAGACCAGGGATGCAGCCAAGCATCCTCCAAAGAAGAACAATCCCTCACAGCAAAGAACTATGTGGCCCAAAAATGGCCCAGTAGTGCTAGGGTTCAGAGACTCCGGGGCTGTGGGAAGGAGAGAAGTCAGAGGAGACACAGAAACCCTGAGGAGCATTCAAGTTCTGCCAGGAACAAAGATACCAAACAAGTCAGGCACAGGCTCTCAGGGTGGATTGTAATTCTCACAGAAAGGCACAGCCTCAGAGTTGAGCTTTCAAGATGGGTTGAAGGAAGGAGTATGAGGCATGCAGGTGCTCATTAAGCCCTGATGATTGACGCCCGGGATTATGAAGAGGAAATGCACAGTATTAGAAATCTACCCGAGGATGGCTTTTTTTTAAGTGGAAAAAGTCCCCGTGCTCCAGGTGTTCACATGCATCCTCTCCCCTCCTCCATTTTGCAAGTTCATTTGCTTTTATCGGTTCTTCACCAAGAAAATGTTTGTGAGATTGAGTTGCCTGTATCAGAAATCAGTTAGAGCTAATATCCTATTTTTTAAATAGCGCCTTTAGGAGTTCAAATCATAGTGCTCCCATTCCTTCCCCTTGTCCAGTGAAGAACTTCATAGGAGTATTTACCTCAGCGTCAGAAATAGAATTTTTCTGCGATTTCCTAGCCAGTCGGGTTCTCAGAGAGTGTGTTGGATTGTAGACTTTTCCAACCAGTGGACTACAATCCGTATTCAGCTTCTGGGAGGACAAATGGAGTTTAAAATGTCATACTTAAAACTCCGGTCCTTAAGATACAGATTATGGTTCCCTTTAAGTTGTTTACACACACACACATCTTATTGTAAGGTGTGTCAGTGACCCACAACATCGTTATGGGGAAAGAATTGCAACCTCCAGCTGTGAAAAACAGTTTATAAATTGTACTTAGCCATTAGAATCTGTTGTTCATGTGAAACCTTGAGCGGCATTCACAAGTGAGCTGCAGCTGCCAGCTGCCAAAGGAAAGGGAAGTCGGGGCGTCACCCTGCTGGTGACGTCACCTCCCAATATGGCGCCCAAGGCGGCTCTGAAGAGACATGCGTGCGTGCGCGTGAGTGAGTTGGGTTTAGGCTGGAGTCTTCACACAGTGAAGCACAGTGTCATAGTTTGAAAACCATTGATAAAGACCTGGTAGAAGTTGTTGAGGAACATTTTAATATAAGTTTCGAGGATGGAATCTACCAAAGGCCATTTTGTCAGGCAGCTTTTCAGTCTTGTAATAAAGTGACTGAGATAAGCAACTGAAAGGAGGGAAGGTTTATTTTGGCTGGTGGTTGCAGTCCATAGTCAATTGGTCTTGTTACTCTGGGGCTAGTAGAGGCATAGTCCATCATGACAGAAGCATGGGCAATACAGCTGGTCATCTATGGCAGCCGGAAGTAAGAGGAGAGTGAAGGGTAGGGGTCCTCATAGCATCTTCAGAGGCGTGCCCCCAAGTGATCTAATTTCCTTCCACCAGGCCCAGTCGCCTCATGGTACCAACACTTCCTTGGAGCATCACCGACCAGGCCTTCTGCTTAGAGCCCTTTAGGGGACAGTGTAGATTCCAACTGTAGCGTCATGTTTCCAAAGATTTCTTAATAAATGAATTACTGTAAGAACTACTCAGCCCATCTAATGTCACCCAGTGAGACATGTTGTATATCAATTTTCAAGCTGAGAGTTGAAATTCTCTGAGATAACACATCCACATAGTCCTAGCCCATGGAGAGAAGCAATGGCAATCTGGTCAGGCTTACTGTGTGGGCTCTCCAAGTCTGTATAAAAATAAAAACATTGATGATGATGATGATAAAATTTATAAACCATTTTTTATAACTTGAAGTTGTAATTCTTTTCCCTATAATGATAGTGTGGAACACTGACATACCTTACAGTAAGATGTAGGTGTGTAGCTAGATAACCAATAAAGCGCCAATCTCTTTAGTGTTATAAGAATGGAGTAGTTCTTATTCAAGAGAAACTGTCTCTTGATTATTAGCAAGAGAACCCCATAGCAACTGGACATAAATAAGTAAACTGAATTAGCTGAGAAATTCCACGGAACCCCATCTGGATGGAGATGCTCCCTGAGCAGGGTTGACTGTCTATTACCAGGGCTATATTTTTCCCCCTGGGGTTTAGGCCCTGTTGCTTTAGTGAGATGCTTCACCCACAAAAAGAAGTAATCAATTAAAATAAAATTTTATGACTGTACTGGTGGCACAATGGATTATGTTCTGTTTTTCTTCCTATGATTTTAGGAAAGATCAAAACATCTTTATGTGCTCTGAAAAGTACTGGGGTCCCTAGGCCCTTCCTCCCACTCTTCCCTTCTATGTCCCCTCAGTGCCCCGGGCCAGTCACACCTCAGCCACGTCATTCTCACAACACTCAGCTCCCTGCTGTGGAGTCTCAGGAAACGATACTAGAGCCTTGGGAGGTAGGGAGCATGAGAAGGATGCTCCAGAGCCACGGAGAGCTTCCACAGTATGGGTCTCCCTTCTCTTCCTTCTCCCTCTCTTCCTTTTCCTCCTCCAGCACCCAGGAAGCAGGAGGCCCCAGGAGGTGCCAGGGCCTGGGCATGCTAAGCTTCAGAGTATACTGTCCCAGTTTGCAAAGCAGATTCATGTCCAGCTCCCTGAAAGACCAGCTAAGGGAACAGTTGTTGCCACTTAGAGATAAAAACTGAGGCCGTGAGGCACTGAAAGAGTTGCCCCACCTCGAGAGTGAAGAATGGGAGTGGTAGGGTCTAGATCACGGTCTGAGCACGAGGGCCAGCTGTCCTGTTGCCAAGCTTTAAAGCTGGGGGTGGAGGGAGAAGAAAGCTCATGGTGTTGACAACTCTTACTATTACCGGCTCAGCCTTAGGTGCTTTTGCTTAACTTGAAGTGGAAATCACAGAAGGGAAGCTGTACACCTGAGTGAGGGTTTTTGGTGTCTATGCTCAATCACAAGGGAAGCAGTACTTGGGACAGGGTCCCTAAACTGCTCCCCAAGGATGCAAGGAGTAAAGCTTATACCGAAAAAAAGTGGGCTCTCATGGGCACCCAGGCAACTGTGGCAAGAGACCCCAGAATTCCTGCACACAGCTTGTTACTTCTTTGCCCTTGACACCGTGGTTTGCATTTGACGTGGTCATCTCCTAATGCAGTCTGTGCAAAAAAACCCAACTGAGCTGGAAGAAGGCTGGAGGTGCTTCGCTACCGCCACCCAGGAAGCTCATAGTAGCGAAAGAAAGGCTGAGGAATAGTCAGCAGCCGGCTACTCAGACGTCACCATGTCAGTCAAGCTTTCCAAGGAACCTCACTCCTTTCTTCCTTATTTTCTTCCAGCACTTGTTGCCCTCCCTGACATACAAATGTTATCTATCAAGCTTATTGGGTTTTGTCTATTTTCTCCCATTGGAAAAGAAGTGTCCCCTCTCCTCGCCATTCCCAGCCAGTACTTGGACCATGGTAGCCTCTCACCACCTACTTGCTTAGTGAGTGAGTGAAATACGGGTAACACTGCCTGGATTCAAACCTCAGCTTCTCTACTTAATAGTAAATCGCCTCAGATTACTCACACGGGGATAACAACAATGGGGTAGTGTGACGCTCTCAGGACAGTTCTGGTCTTAGACGTCTCTGATACATGCAAACTTCCCAGCTGCAGCAGCTCTTACGGCCATGTTCTAACATCGCAGTGATAAGTTGTTTGAGAACATAGATGAAGATCGTCGAATTTAAGACCTTACTTTCCATAATTTAGTCACACTCAGTTCATGGATGTTTCAGGAACTAAGTGCTCGATTTTGTTTTTCCATCTTCAGATGTCAGCATGATTACCCTGAAAGTTTTATGTGAAATATACAATCGCGAGAAAATAGTACACTAATATCTCACTTCCACCCAGCTGCAGCAGCTGCTGGCATAGGCCCAGTATTGCTTCATTTCTTCACCTTTCTGCTTTTCACTGCAAAGCCCAGACAGGGTGTCATTGTATCTTTGAATACTAAATGTATATCTCTAAAAGATAAAGATTCTTTTAAAAATATAACCATAGTACCACTCTGACGTATAAATTCCACTACCAAGGCTCTCTTAATGTCATCAAGTATGCAGGCATGGCTCACAGTTCCAGGGAGACTGCTTTCCACCGCTAGCGTTTAATGAAGTGGATTCTGGTAAGGTTGAAAACAGGTGGTGTCCTCTGATGTCTAACAGCTCAGGGGAGTATCAGCATTTTGCAATATTTTGCATGTGTTTTGTGCCTTTATTTCAGCATCTTTGGTAAGACTTTGCAAAATATTTTCCCTTTTATACAAAAGAGAAAATACACTTGTTTGCTGTTCCTACAAGTAGGTATCTTTCAGGAATGAAATTATTTCTAAGCAAGGAGGGAGTCCTGAATTTATTTGAAATTGTGGAAAATATCATTAGTAACTATTGCTACATCAAGAAATTCACACACTATAAAATGCCTATGCTGTAGAAGCTAAAATGCATTGTGAAAAAAATGCAAATAGCACAAGTTTAACCCTGTGCAAGACATTGTGTGTAAGAACCTAGAAGTAACCTGTAGTGACAGTAATTGCTCAATATTCATTCATTCATTCTTAC